AAAATCAATCTTTTTAATGCATTTAACTTTTCCATGTTATTACTGCTCCATAGACCTTAAAAGGGCATCGGAACACTCAGGGCTTCGCCCTGATACGAGCAGTCTTGTTTATGTTTGTTTTCCTTTCCGTTCATTAAAACGGAAAGGAAAACAAACGTAATTAAGTTTGACCAGCAGCAAAAATCCCCGTCAAAACTGATTCCGTGTTAAATGAAAAAACTACCTATGCCAAATTTATAGTTATCTCATTTTCATGCTTTGGAAACTCTCGTAAATAGTAAATTTTGAGAGGCTTTGACTGAAAGTAATGAAAAGGAGAAAAAAAAGCTCGTAATTGAATCAGAATGCTTTAAAAAACGACCAGCAAACATAACGTGGAAGTGGCTGATTTCCACTTACACGCACTTTTCACGTTTTTCTCAGTTATTTGTAAACAACTGAACAGTATTATATCATGTTCTTTTTTAGCTAATCAGCTAGAGGCCTAACCCGAAGGTTAGTTATTTAAGGTTGACTAAGCTATACTATCTTACAAGAGCTCACCTTGTATATTGCAGCGCACGTGGGATATGAGCCCGCAATCGTATGATTGCTGGTACAATCACTACCAATGCGCCACAACGCCATGTTCTACGCAAGATGGCCTTTTCTTTGGCATTTTTCCTTCCCCCACCAGCGAAGTTTTACTAGTAACGCCTCGTTGAAACACAAAATTGATGCATATGTGAGGTCGGGGGGGGGGGGGGGGGGAGCGTAGGAGAAAGAGCCGCTTCTTTTTACACAAAACTCAATCAGTTTCCTTCTAAGATTTTCAAACAATTTCACTCACATAACTGCAATTTCACTCACACAAATAAAAAGAATTTATAATAAGTCGATACAACAGAGAGGAGAACTCGCTCCTATTCGTAAAATGATCAAGGAGGAGCTGCAGTTGCTTCAGTGTTTATCGTTCCGATTGTCGAAGAAATAGAGGAACATATAAGCTCATGGTGATTTTCTATTCAGACCAATTTTACAAAAGTTGACTCCGCATGAGTATTGATCCAGAAATATACAGATTCCCAATCGAGTACATTTACCATTAGCCCAAATGCGCTTGCTTGGTGGTGCTCAATTTATATTGATAATATCGATGCGCTAAATAATAAGGCGAATTATCCCGCACTCATAGTCCTTCCAAACTAATTTGAGGTGAACTAATTAGTCATTTAGGTTCGACTCATTTTAAGCACCTTCCATTTGATATTGGCAGTCCAAAAATTATAAATTGTCAAAAAAATTTTAGCAAAAACTATCCGAGACCAACTAAGGATCAGTCAAAACATTCAAGGCTCTGTCCTAATATACGAGTAGTCTTGTTTTGAATAATTGACCTCTCTCGCCGCTGCATCTTTTAGGTCAAATTTAATTAATATTCTGGAATACTATTGTAGGATAGACCCAACTTTAAAATGTGTTTTTCCCGCTATACCCCCAGTGCCCAGTCTAGTAACTATAGATTAATCTCCCACCACACACGTGAGTAAATAAACTCCTTTCACTGAGTAACAAGCTACCGATTTGAAGCTTAACAATTATCTTTACCAAAAATCTATATCTTTACAGTATAGCTTTAAAGTTCATAAACGTGTAATTTAGGCTTTTATTTCACATGTGAAAAAAAAAACTCGTATCCTGGCAAAGTCCTGAAATTTCCGACTGCATTTTTAAGTTTATGCAGTAGTTTTTGCTTTTAAACGATTTGAAACCTCTTTAAACGATAGAGGTTTCAAATCTTTTTTTTTGAAAATCATCCCCCAAATGCTATATTAAGTGCTAATTAACAGACCAAACAGTATTAAACAGCCAAAATAGAAAGCCTCAACTAAATGTGGAGCGAGTTCGAAGACAGATTAAATCTTCGCTTACGCGTTAATAGTATGAAAACATCGCGCGTTATTTACCCCAAGATGACATTTTTAATTCCTGTGACTTTCCGAAAAAAAACAAAGTGAAATATCTTTTTAAATTTGAACTCAAGACAACGATACTTTTCGAATGATGTATAACAACTTGGTCAAAAAGCTTGTCGAGAGGAAAAAACACTTCGAATAGTCCAAGCTGAGCATAATGGAATTGAAAGAGGATTTCGCAACAAGCCACAGTCCGATTTTTCGCCGAGCACAAAACAATGCTACTTTTCTTTGCCTTTCTCTGCTGTTTTGGATTTCAAACAAATAGCTTAAAAACTGTAACGCCCAAAATTACGAATCAAGCAAGCAAACTTGCAGAATTTGCAACAAAAATTGCCGAATCCAGAACCATTTGTTTAGTCAAATTACGCTGTCAGGGAATCCAGAACAGTTTTTATAGTCAATTAACGCTGTTGCGGAGTTCTTAACTGTACGCCGAATCCGTATTATATTTGCGGACTCTATTAAAACATTTAGTTACGTCTTTAAATATCATGTTTAGATTGGATATTTTGGTTTTAGGTCAAAAGCGGAGAGTCGAATTTCTTGAAAAAAGCATCCAAAACTTCCCGCTTTTGAAAAATTGATACTGTATTTAAAGACATAATAAAGGTCAGGACAAAATAATTTATATACGGCGAGCGCAATCGTTCAATCTTAAAGATTTTCATAGATAAAAAAAGACGCAAAACGGTAAACTAAAACAAAAAACTGGCAATGAACTTTCTTCTATAAATTACAGTTGCTAGCAAGTTTGGTTAATCTCAAGTGCTGCGAACAATTCAATCTCAATTAGTGATAACAGTTCAATCCCAGACTCAATTTTCCTGGCGAATTTATCTCGACTACTGAAGGGGTACATCCACGATTATATTTGAACAACTATTTAAGATTTGCTATTGATTTCCACTGACAATGGTTAAACTCTTGCTTTTAAATTTTGGCTTTGCTAGATATTAATTCTAGCGCAAGCAAATTTTGTGCAGGAACGAACTTAATAACCAAGTTAATAACCAACATCGAGGAATTCACTAACAATTAGCGGATTCCGACTACATTTGCGGAATCCGAAGCAACTAGCTGTATTAACTGGTTGCACAAACCGCGACAAAACAAATGTGCCGCCAAAACTTGCATTAAATATATTTGTACGCGGAATCCACACAACTTTTTGAGTGGAATCCACTTACATTTTGTTACAGGTTTTCAGACTTGTCTCTGGAATCCAGGAACATACAGACACAAAATTGTGCGCCTATCCAGTGCACAATGGCCCTATTAATGTATGAGTTTCGATCCTTTTTAAAGCTTTCTACTCCTCAAACTACTCGCCTCTTTGTGCTTTCCGTTCCTATCGACTTTCTTTTCGCTTTCGTTTTTTCGCCTAATTTTTTGAAATTTCTGAATATAATCTAAATTGCTATGATTCGTTGTGGACACTTCAGGAGTCTGCCGGGTCCCATATGAAACTAGTTAATCTATGCTGTGCTATCTGCAAACCATAAACTGTGCGCACTTTGTTCCGTAAAAACTGTGCTCGCGAACTTCTGAGCGCTGAACAAGCATGCTGCATGAACAAATTACGCTGACATAACCACCGTGTATTTAAATGAATATTGTGTTTAAACTATAGTTAGAATAGTTATATTGCATAGTTAGTTGCTTTCATCATATTCAGCATACGCTCACGCTGGAAGTTTTTTCCGATTTTAGTGAAAAGTAGAAGTGGAGAAGGTTTTTTGAAGTTACGGAAAATTAGTCTGTTTCTATAGGCCATGAAATCTCAGCTATGGGACTCTCAACAGTAGGCAGCTTTTTTTAGTTCTTCAAGTGAAGTTTCCGAAAAAAAATTTCAGAAGCTAAGCTTTCGTATTTTCAATTGTGTAGTATCTCCATGATTAATTTAGTTTTATTTGAAGCAAATCTTCAACTTATCGACCTGTTCTCGCAGAGCTTAACGTTTCTAATGAGCTCAATTTATAGGATACCTCTGGGTTGGAATTTCTTTTATACTTAGATCACGTTCGTTGATCAAATTATTCACGCTTTGCCATACTTCAGTTCAATTTAACTACTTTGAGCTGCAGTAATCAAAGAAAAAGTTACACAAAATTTCAATTAAAAACGAATGAAACTATAGAAATTATCAATCATAATTTTGTTAATTCAAATATTCGTAGAATTTAAATAGATTAAAACTTCGAGCACGTATTTGACTGCTGAGTTGAGATGTCAAACTTCAAAATTACATCTCAAAACTAATTTCGAGTTAAAAATCACTGCCTCTTAATCAAAATAACTAATTCCATCATGCGCAAAATACGAAACACAAATCTAGTGAAGTCACGCCAGTAAGCATCGAACATTGATTTTAAATATGAACACAAAATATGACCAGAATTTGTGTGATTTGAAGGAAGCACCAGCTTATCTCAATCTGCTGAGTTTTTTGCTCTTCTTGAGTTCCCGCCTTTTTACCATAAAAACTTTGTTCAAGTAGTCTGAACACAACAAACGTGTGCTATGATAATCTTCCAATTATATTTATGCAAATAACCTTGTAAATTACCTGTTTGTACTGTAAAACAAATGATCTACTTACTTTCAAACAAACCCTTACACAGAATAATTTTCATCACTGAGCAAAATGTCAAGAAATGCAACCGATTTCACTACCCAGAAAGACTAACCTGCATTTTTACAAACTTGGCATGCAAAAACTAAAGCAGGTTTAAGAGTTAATCATTGCACTTCAATAACAGCATTTAGCAGCAGCTGCATCGGAGCTAGCTCAGGTGGCGTTTTGAACTAATTCCAAACATTTCATTAAAATTCAAGCACGTATATCTAATCTGCACTACAAGTTTATTTTTCTGCTTCGTGGGGTGTAAAATCTAACTAAGGTGATTGCGTAGAATTTACCTGATGCAAATTTAATTTAGATCTAATTAATTAACTTAATGGGTTAAAGATAGAATTATGAAACCAAAAAAAAACTTTTCAACGGTTTATAATCAGCAAAAATCAGAATTTAAAAAAGGTTGTTCAGTCTTTCATTGCAACTTGCTCGGCGGTAACTTGGCTGTCTAGAGCACCTGACATTATTGCACTGTTGGATTCATTGCATGCTTTGGCACATGGTGCGGCGTGGCTGGACGCCGTTCGGCGATGTCGCTTATTCGGCGACATAATCGCACTTCCATTCACATTATTCATTTCGATGTGTATTCCACTTGCCGTCGACCCACCGTTAGCAGTAGTTACACTTATATTTTCGCACTGCATGTGCACGTTATTCGCACTTCCATTAATGCACGTTGCATTCACATCGCCAGACCACGACTGGTTGTCACTGGTCTCACAAATCATTGCACTATTTGACTGCCTGCATTGATTACTGCAGGGAGAGATATTGTGTTCACTTGTAATTGTGTCATTTGTTGAAGAAGGTCCAAAATTTCCGGCCCTGCCGGGACTAGAACCGTTTCTACAAGAGCTATTAGCACAGTTATTTGCACTTGAAGTAGACATTTGTGAGGCGCACTGGGCACTTTTGTCACCACTTGATTGAAGTAGGCAAGAGTTAACATTCGTTTGGCCAGAACTGAACGGAAGCGATTGGTTAGTAGCAGCATTGTTGTTGTTTTTTGTACAAATTGAGGATCCTATCTTAATATTATTTGGGTTGTTATTGTTGTCATTAAACATGGTCACGTCTCCTCGAGCTCCCATTGCATTGCTTGATGCCGCCATTGCAGCTTGAACCAGATGCAGGTGGTGGTTTTGGTCTTGAGTGTATCTTGGAGTTTCCTCAATAGAAGGTTGTCGCTCATAAATCATCTTTTCCATATGTTCAACTACTTTTCGGAAGCGTCTGCTGGGTCCTAAAAAAACTGTATATTAATAAATGACTGCGTTAAACGTTTAGCATCGGCGTTGACTTGAATTTTGATCAAATAACTTGCGCAAACACTTTTACCCGTGGGATTCAATCGCTCAATTGGTCTAAAATGTATCTGAAATCTGAAACTTCGGTTATTTGATGAGCTAGCCACTCGCCTGTGATGAGTGTGAAAATGACTTTGTGCATGTTGTCCAGCACCGAGTCTAGCATCACGTCAATCTGGAACTTTATCGGCTTGGAAAACATGGTGGATCCTGAAGAGTACTTGCGGAACTCCACTCGGAAACACGTCGGCGAAATCACCTTGTTCTCCAGGTCTGGTGTCTGAAAAAGACGACGTTAATCGCTTTTATACGACCAGTAGAAAAAACTCCAGTCTGTTCATGTTACCATATATTGTACCGTGAATTGCTTTCATGTATAAACATTATAGCTCAGTCGAAATCATATTTTTTACCAGTTTTTCTATTAGTCACAAACCAACCGATGCTCATTTTTCATCTGAAGTATAGCGATGACTTTCAATCATTATTCAGCTACTACTTACACATAGAAATGCGTAGATGAGGTCGTTTTTGATCTGGGAGAGTGACTTGCCAGTGACATTCCAGACGCATTGCTCGCTCCTTGATGTCGAATCCTGTCCCAGGATGTTGTAGAACCAAGACCTCTTTGTCAGTCTATAGAAATTAGGGTAATGAATATAGGGAAGACGCCAAGTCTATGGTCAAAATCCCATGTAAATAATTTAGCTTCAGAATTATTTCAGAAGCTTCAGAAGTTTTTCATAGCCGGTGCAATAACCATTTTTAGAAATCTTTGTCACAGTGACCTCAAATATTTTCTTTTAGTCAACATAAAATCTCTCGTTTGATAGTAATTCGCTTGTTGCTTTGTTTCTCCCTTTTTTAATGCAAGTCTACTATTAAATTTCCCGCTTGGTTTATTTGTAATTGTTCCGAGCATTTGAAAACTGGGGAGGAGCTTTGCATTCCAGTGAGTTTTAGTTTTTTGTTTCGACCATTGAAAATGGGGAGGAACTCTCTGTTCGGGTGTGTTTGGTTTTTTCTTTTTTTCTCCACGCAAAATCAGCTACCACAAACAATCATCGGACAGGGTCGGAAGATATATCATAATTAAGCCCACAGTTGTGATTCAAAATTTTCCGAAAAGTTTTGCCAGTGTCGAGAAAAATTGGTTTTCAAATTTTTGATTTTTCGTCTTAATTCGAGCGATTAAGCAAGCGAGCAGACTTTTTTTTCTTTTTCATGCAAAATCAGGTACCACAAATATTCATCAGACTGGGTTGAGTAACATATCATATTAAAGCCCTTTCAGTCGTGATTCGAACCATTTTAAAAATTCCAAAAAACTTTCTCCAGTTTCTCGAGAAAAACCAGTTTGAGATTTTTGATTTTTCGTCTAAATTCAAGCAAACAAAGCAAGCGAGCATGCTTACAACGGCTGAATTATGCCTAGTTAAAGACCTTTAATCTTAATTTCAAGCAAGTAAAACTAGTTATTGGAGTTTTTTAATTTTTCTAGTCATTTTTCTACAAAAAGTTTTGTCCAATTCGTCTATATTACTTGAACTGTCTAATATATCTAAATTATATTTTTACGTCAGCTCCTTTTATCACATCAAGCAGAAAAAACTACACTAATTTGGAAAAAAAACTTTCTGAATCTTAGTTTTCTAAAGACCATGGTCGGAGCATTCTGTGCTACTTGCACAGTAACCGGCTATCCTTGTTCTAAGTGTATATACTAACTCAGACGAGTCCAGGTCAGGTGATGCTAGCGGCATCTCCTCTGTGACAGCCACACTCTGTTTGCGTCTGTGGAAGGTGGGACTGCCCAGGAAGGAGTTCTTCAAAGAGTTCAGTCTGTGTCTGATCGGAGTCAGAGAGGGGAAGTTAGTCGGTCTGTCTCTTTCGCCTCCACCTCTCTCGGTCGTCTGCTGTTGCGAGTAGCTTCCTCCACTTGGATTAGTACTGTTGTTACTGTTCCTGCAAACGAACAATCAAAATTTTTCAAGACTCGAAACATCACGCAAACTTAAGGAAGCCAAACAAATTTTGAGTCTTGAGGCTTTGAAAGCAGTATATGGTTCTTAATCGTTCATTTTCTAAAATAAAAACTGAACGATTAAGAATCATATATCACACCCAGCAGAAGAGTCTAGACTTGAAACATCATGCAAACTTAAGGAAGCCAAACAAATTTTGAGTCTTGAGGCTTTGAAAGCAGTATATGGTTCTTAATCGTTCATTTTCTAAAATAAAAACTGAACGATTAAGAATCATATATCACACCCAGCAGAAGAGTCTAGACTTGAAACATCATGCAAACTTAAGGAAGCCAAACAAATTTTGAGTCTTGAGGCTTTGAAAGCAGTATATGGTTCTTAATCGTTCATTTTCTAAAATAAAAACTGAACGATTAAGAATCATATATCACACCCAGCAGAAGAGTCTAGACTTGAAACATCATGCAAACTTAAGGAAGCCAAACAAATTTTGAGTCTTGAGGCTTTGAAAGCAGTATATGGTTCTTAATCGTTCATTTTCTAAAATAAAAACTGAACGATTAAGAATCATATATCACACCCAGCAGAAGAGTCTAGACTTGAAACAGCATGCAAACTTAAGGAAGCCAAACAAATTTTGAGTCTTGAGGCTTTGAAAGCAGTATATGGTTCTTATTCGTTCATTTTCTAAAATAAAAAGTGAACGATTAAGAAGCATATATCACACCCAGCAGAAGAGTCTAGACTTGAAACATCATGCAAACTTAAGGAAGCCAAACAAAATTTGAGTCTTGAGGCTTTGAAAGCAGTATATGGTTCTTAATCGTTCATTTTCTAAAATAAAAACTGAACGATTAAGAATCATATATCACACCCAGCAGAAGAGTCTAGACTTGAAACATCATGCAAACTTAAGGAAGCCAAACAAATTTTGAGTCTTGAGGTTTTGAAAGCAGTATATGGTTCTTAATCGTTCATTTTCTAAAATAAAAACTGAACGATTAAGAATCATATATCACACCCAGCAGAAGACTCTAAACTTGAAACATCATGCAAACTTAAGGAAGCCAAACAAATTTTGAGTCTTAAAGCTTTGAAAGCAGTATATGGTTCTTAATCGTTCATTTTCTAAAATAAAAACTGAACAATTAGGAATCATATATCACACCCAGCAGAAGAGTCTAGACTTGAAACATCATGCAAACTTAAGGAAGCCAAACAAATTTTGAGTCTTGAGGCTTTGAAAGCAGTATATGATTTTTAATCGTTCGTTTTAATTTTTAAAATAAAAACAAAAAATGCTAGTTTCGAAACTCTCATCAGCAATTTCTAAATCTAACTATCAAAATTCTGCAGATCTTTTCCATAGTTTTCTGACAAAATTAACCGATATTAAATCTTTTTACGATTCGAATGACTAACATCATGTTAATATTGTTGACAATCGGGCTGGAAGGCGGCGAACAGCTGTCAGGGGTCATCGGTGACGGCGGCCCCTTCATGCTCACCCCTACTGCCCCTCCCGATGTCGGACTCAGTGCATTACTACAATTGCTTCTATGCGATGCACACTGTTGTGCATTAGCTGCATGGGGGAGGGGAAAATGCGGAGCACCACGTTCGGATGACGAAGCCAGGGGGGACGTTGGAAGCACTAAAGGCGAATGAGGATACATCTGCTGGGTGGGACTGGAATTGTTCGAGTAGACATAGTGGTTTGGTGAGTTGGAGGCAGATCGATTCCCGCTAGGGGCGCCAGTGTTGTTGGAACTTCCGCCCATTATCACTCCCCTGCATGTTCTATTGGTGTAAGTCGTGCGCTTTGGAGATGCGAGAGGAGACGCTGGTCCTGGGCTTGGCGTCAAGCTTCTTGTGCTAAAAACACACCTAGATTTATATCAAACAATCGCCATGAACTTTTTAAAGTGAACTTCGCAATAAAATCAAGAGCTCTTCTTGCTTTCTCGAAAGATTACAAAAGAAGCAGGGCGTCAGACTGTCCTGGAAAAACAGTCCCAAAATAGACCCGCTGGTAAAGACGACAGTGAAAATCAGACTAAGGAATGAACAGAATCAATATGAGATGTTTGTTCATTTGGACTGAATTGTTAGGGACTAAATTTAAATTTCTCCAATTCCTTACTTTTGTGGTTAATACAGATTGAAAAAAATGTGGGAACAGAAGAAGCGCAGGGTTATTGAAGATTTACAGTGATGCCTACATACATACCACCAGTCAGTGAGAGAATGAAAGTAAAACCCGCATTTGTTAATAAAGCAGAAGAATCAGAGATCTCTTACCTTGAGTCAAGTACAGATCTAAGAAATCGACAAACAATAGTTCAAATAAAAGAAGCAGGAGCATTACCAACTTATTAGGAAACTGGCCAAAAATTGTATTTGCGATGATATTAATGCACTCTTTCTTCAACTGTCAATCTGTTTTTTCTATTGAGGGACCCAATGGTGACCTGTCAACTCACCCTGCTGAGAATAAGTGTCTATGCAGTACTCTTCTACCCAAAGATGGGGAGGCTCCGCAGTCGACACTGCTGCTGTGCATGTATGTGGTGACAGGGGATCCTCCAGGCCCAGAGGAGCTGTTCGAGTGACTGTGGAGGAAGTGGTTGTTGTTGTTGAGGCCTGCTTCGGTGGAGGTGGTGAAGGAGGTAGGAGTGCGACTGCCGTGGCCGCCGTCCAGTTTCTTCTTGATATGTATGGGCGAGTCCACTCGCTTCCTCGGAGGGTCCACTGCAACAAACAAACAAAGATTTCTGATTGCTTTGCAAAGAATGTTCCGACAACAGAAACAATGAGAGGTTCAAACAGTAAAACAAGTCAAAAAAGCAAAAAAAAATCAAAATAAAAGTAGACCTAAAACTTTCACAAAATCGTGTCAAATTTTTTATCAAAAAAATTATATTCTTCGTTTGATATTTATTTAAGATAAAGAGCAATCGAATTACGTATAGCGCTGCAAAAATGAGCGAATAGATACTAAGACAATCTAAAAACTGTGCCGTCTAATAACTCAAAACGGAAAAGTTCAAACCATTTTTTCTTGACAGACAAAGTTTTCGATTTTTTAGTTTTAGGAACCCAAATCACGGCCTATAGGTATTTTTTATGATACCACACTTGACACTCTGCGAGATTGCTTTGACGTTGTCAAATTGGGCGGAAAAAACACAAGCTAATCCATCGTACCTTCCCACCTCCTTTAGGGATGGGAAAAGGGGTAGCCGGACTAATAATACCAATTTATTTGCATTACCATTCTGGTTAGCAAAGCGGTGGATGAAATTTCGAGTTAAAGTTTCATCCTATCAGTGGAATTTGTAATTTATGCTCATAATCTTCCTTTTAACTGGGCTTCGTGTGGAACTGGGCTTATAGAATTGAAACGCTTTGAAACTGAAAAGTAATTTCACAATAACTGCGTATAGGTGCCGAAACGCCTTTAGCAATACGTTAGTTAAAGAAAAAAATTGCAGGTAACTGAAATAATTGCCCCTCCTCAGCGCATGATTGAATATCAGTATTCGTTCAAAACAGTCAAAAGACTTGACAAAGCGTCAATGAACTAAGGGAGACCGGGAAAAAATGACTTAATCAAGAGTTTTTAAGAAAAAAATATATCATTGAGATTTTGAATTTCAATAATCTTTCATGATGACACTTTTTACACAGAGGTGAAGCTACTCTTCATGAACACTCGCGACAAAAAGCAGCTCTGAAATAATAAAAAAAAAGTAGAAATCAGCCACGAATTAGAATAACTTTTGCTTATACGTCGGATTAGAACCTACGACCTCGAGATTTGGAGACCCTCATCCTTCCCTCTCAGCCACGGACGCTTAACACTCAGTAAATACTAGTCAATGAAGAGAGTGAATACTACAGATTGTGATTATAGCAAAAGTGCCACCAGAATTAGAGCCCTACTAATAAATTACGGTTCCTAGTGTATTACAAACCACCCATATTGAAAAAATGGAGCATTGGCAGCTTTTCCCCTAAGAATTTTTCATCAAATCAACTTTTGAAACAAAAAGTCAATCACATTTTGCCTACTCAATTTTGGAGAGCGTGATTTGCTTTCCTTTTAGCAAACAAATTGGATTTCAACTTGAACAAATCAAAGAACATAGAAAGTTAAAAACGAACAATAAACGCAAAGAATCGTAAAAAAACGGACGTATTTTTCGAACAATCATTTTTTTCGAATTTCAAAGCTTAAATAATATGGCCTTTTGCTTTCAAATGAGTTTGTGATAAGACCAACTCACGTTGAGAAAATTGAATCAAAAGGTAAAGTTCTGATTCCGCTGGGAAATCAAAAAATTTAAACCCCACTTTCGAAACTAGAAGTTGCTCATATATATAAATGTCGAAACTTCAGCAAAAAGTGCAAAAATTGTATAATATATATGCAAATATATATACAGGCGAAGCACATCTTTAGTTAAAAGAACATTTCAAGACCTTTTCCAGAAGAATAAAGAACAAAAAAGAACCAAGGCCTATATATCAGTCTTCAATACAATCAGTGACTCTTAACTAAACCGCAAAAAAATCAAACTTGAGCGTGAATTACTTCTAACTGAAAAACCACACGATCTAATTAAGAGTGTCCGCTCTTTTTCCTTTTCCCCCACACACGACCATCAATTTCTTGCTGTAACGAGTGGTTTTACAAGGTTAATTATGACGATTAAATATGTTTGGCACAGCCTAATTATTCCGCATGTCAATTTTCATAACGATCGAACAATGTGATCAATAACTTTACTCGTAAAAAAATGCAGGTGGGGAAGGAAAAAGAGCCGAGTGTCTTCAATTTCATCGACACTTTAACAAGGGCGGATTGAGTCCCCTCTGAAACTAATTGAGCCCATCAGCAATTAGGCATTTTCTCAAAGCTCTGCCCCGGTGTAAACTTATATCTTTATTAGGCAAAAAAAGAAGGTTTTTTATGAGCTTCTAGTTAAAATAGCCTAACTGTTGGACGGCTAGATATTTTTGTGTAGTATTACGGAACAATCTTACTTGAGTCTTTTTTATTCAACTTCAATTTTTATTCAGTAGAAATTCGATACGTGACTCTCGATACCTTCTTCATACCTTCTGGTTCCACTAGCGGAAACTTAAAGCACTACCAAATACAGCTCCATCAAATACAGCACTACCAAATACAGCTTACCGAGAAAATTCTACCGAATTAAAGCTTACCAATAGTCTCCACTTCAGTGTTTTAGAAAGTTTCAGTTACGTCGATTTGAAGGGGGTGAAACAAATTCTAAGCTGAAAACCAAGGAAGATGTCAATAAAAGTACAGGTGTGTAATTCTATTCACCTAATGGAACTGAACTAAGAACTGACCAACTAAACCTTTACTTTTCAAAATTTAGCCTTTTTAAGTCCTTTTTTGCGATAGCTAGGTCAAAAGTTAAAGTTTTTGAGCCATGACCTGCAACGAACAAGAACATATTATTATTTTGTATGGCGCTGTACTAAGTCACAGGGCAAACAGTTTCTGTTCGTCCTGTGACTGGGAATTTCTAATTCTGCTGCTAAGCAGTTTTACTACATGTTCATTCAATTTGTATTATATTTAGTACACAGAGGCGAAGCTGCGCTTCGGAAACACAAGCGAGGAAATCCATAAAAAGCTTCAAATAGGCAAAACAACGTGAAGTAAGGAAAGAAATTAAAAAGAGACGTTGAAAAAATGGCTATGCAGCAAAAATTCCATCAAAAAAATTATTTAATGTTCCGGATTTGAATATCCGGACTGCTGATTAGCAATCACATGCCCTCGCATCTGCGCCACTGTCGCGTGGAAGTAAGCAAGTGGCCCAGCTAATACTGGATCTACCTGTTCTTATATCTTTAATCATATATTGTACTGATTACTGATACGGAAAAGCGTAACTTTCAAAAACTTCAAAGAATTAGACTTTAAGCTGAACCCTAGTGTTTCTCAGCTTAAGTAGGGGATAAACCGCTTCTTTAAAGGAGAAATCTAGTACTCGCTCTTTCAATTTAAGTCTTTATCTCAGATTTGGATGGATAGTTCTCCGAAAAAAAATCCAAAAATCGAAAAAAGTTTCAGTTTTCCTAAATCCATAATTTTTTCTCTACTGAAGAATGGAAAATGCCTCTGCTTTCCACGCCCTGATTTTCATATGAAAAATTTCCGCACCCTGAATTTTCACATTGAACCCTTAATATCAGATTTAGCCAAGAGTTTTCGAGAATAGTGACGAAACTTCAAAAAAAACGGTAAAAATTTCAAATGGAATTTTTCCGAATTCCATATCAGCTTTTCTACAAAAACAAACGCGGTAAGCAGATAACGCAGGGAAAACCTAAGCACCATGGTGGTTTAAATGAACTATCAACCTCAGAATCAGCAGGTTCGTTTTTGGAAAAAAAATTTGCAAAAAACTGGCAAAATTTCAAAATTGGAGAACTTCTAGGGCCATTTTTTTCAAAACGCAGGGCATAGCCGCTTGCGCAGGTAGTATTTGCAAAACTGACTGTTTTTATTTCTTTTAAACCCTTAATCTCCGATTTGGCAGGGTAGTTTTTGAAAAAATTAACCAAAATGTCAAAAATTCGGCTTGTTTGAGGCCATAACTTTTTCTACCAAAAATAGGGAAAAGCCGCTGGAGAATTTAAACCTTCAGCTCAGACTTGTGCATTTAAAATTTGAGAAAACAAATAGGCCAAAAATCCCGCAAGTTAAATTTTCGAAGGCCGTATAACGTCAAGTAAAATGAAAAGAGACTAGCAAAATATGCAGTCACATAGGAGAGCAGTCGGTTTCCCCATTGCTACCATTGGTTTTTTTTTTTGAATAACCGGATAGTAGTTTTTAAGAAAATTCGAAACTTCAGCAAAAAGTGCAAAAATTTTCCAAAGATTTGCAAAACAAAAACGGAAATTTCAAACGGAGATAAGCATAAAAAACACTTTCGAATTTCAAAGAAAAAAATAGATGCCCTTTAAGCTCTTTGAAAAAGCGCCAATCATAAATCAGTTTTGAAATTCAAAGAGCTTAGAGGGCATCTATTTTTTTCTTTGAAATTCGAAATGCATCAATATATATATGCAAGCACATCTTTAGTTATTAGAACATTTCAAGACCTTTTCCAGAAGAATAAATAACAAAAAAGTCGACAAGACCTATATAACAGTCTTCAATACGTTCAGTGACTCTTAACTAAACCGCAAAAAAAAATCTAAACTTGAGCGTGAATTAATTCTAACTGAAAAACCACACGATCTAATTAAGAGTGTCGGCTCTTTTTCCTTTTCCCCCACACACGACCATCAATTTTATGCTGTAACGAGTGGTTTTACAAGGTTGATTACGACGATTAAATATGTTTGGCACAGCCTAATTAGTCCGCATGTCAATTTTCATAACGATCGAACAAAGTGATCAATAACTTTACTCGTAAAAAATTGCAGGTGGGGAAGGAAAAAGAGCCGAGTGTCTTCAATTTCATCGACACTTTAACAAGGGCGGATTGAGTCCCCTCTGAAACTAATTTGGCCCATCAGCAATTAGGCATTTTCTCAAAGTTCTGCCCGGTGTAAACTTATATCTTTATTAGGCAAAAAAAGAAGGTTTTTTATGAGCTTCTAGTTAAAATAGCCTAACTGTTGGACGGCTAGATCTTTTTGTGTAGTATTACGGAACAATCTTACTTGAGTCTTTTTTATTCAACTTTAATTTTTAT